TACATGGCAATTACCATGCAATATTAATAGAGAGTGTCAAACTGAAGTCCTAACCAAGGAACTTGCAATCCAAAGGGAATATAAATTCTTCCCTCAAAATATGTCCTGTATTCTTCCACTATCCATTGATGCATTTATACTTGTACAGTTTAACATTTGCTTTTAACAAAATAAAAGATGACATTTGACTGCACAGAGAATTGTAACTGGAAACATAGCTAAATTATTATAACACATGCCTAAACAGGTGGGTAATATTAAAGTCTTAAGTCTGGCTGCTTTTAGTAATGCAGCTCTTTGAAAAAACCCTTTAAGCACGTCAGTTTTTATAAGCTCTTGCATTTTTAGAGTAGCATTTCTTGCAGGTATTTTTTTTTTGTCCAGCAAGACATTCTGCCCGTTACTTTCATCCAGCCACAAAGGTGGCTGGGTTATTAAAGGACTTATACAGACAGAACTCATCAGAGAGAAGGTTTGGTTCTCTGTGATCTGAAATGGCACTTTCGTACCCACCAGCATGCGCCTAGTCTTTTACTCCATTACTGGGTTGTAGCAGTCCTTTACATTAGGAAAAATTCTGTTTTGGCCTTCCCTTCTGCGTTAATTTGAATGTTCAAATTAGGTCAGAGCTTAAAATAATTCAATCTACTAAGGTTTTCAACAAAATATTTTAACTTTCCCAACTCTATTATTTTATTTACTCTTCAAAAATGCTGGAATCGTATTAGAAAAAGATTTATCTGAATGGCAAGCAGAAATCATTATCCAAGCAGATAAGCCTATAAAGCATTAAAATTTATCTTAATACAAAATGCAGGGCCTGGTTGTGGCACACTCTGCCTATTTGTCTAACGGACATGTAACAGAGAAATGGTCCAAATGAGTTTAATAAATCTCTTTCTTAAATTCACAAAAGACCACATCCTCACTTCCATAATTCTATTAGAGTCTGCTCCTTTGAAGGAGATAAAAGAAAAGATAACCTCTCCATTCACAATGTAAAATAGCAATTGTTCAGCTGACAACTGGAATATTTCCAGTAGAAGAACTTAATTATGGAACAAAATTAACTCAATCTGACCTTTTTAGCGAATAATGCAAAAATAAGTTTTTTTGCAAATATCTTCCTGGAATAACTAAAATAAGGAATAATTTACTTCAGTTTTTTTACAATAGCAAAAGTTGGTAGCAGATGATAGCAGTGTTCTTGGTGAGATGACAATCCAAGGATAATAATAAGACAGCACCAGCAGAAAGGGATAATATATTTTAATAGCCTAGCTAGATGGTACCGTTTCAAAACAGACAAGCTTTCAGACACACAAGCCCTTTTTAGCAAGAGCAGGTTCCCCTCTGTGACTCAAAATTGCTAGCTTAATATATAGATAGTGTAATGATTGTGTTCTAGAAATGCATAGAAATGTACAGTATCTATATTAATTACATCCTGAAAGCTCCTCTTGGGATAAAGACAAAACATATTCTTGCCATCTCTATTTTATCTAAGTGATAAATAGGAATAAGTACTTGCACCCACAGACCTAGAGACTGGGTATGATGCTGTGTGTTAAAGCATTTCTCTATGGGTGTTTAATTAGATGAGTTTATCTGTATTGAGGCACTCCTCGCTAGGGGAAAAAAAAAACCCACCACAAACTGGAAAGAAAAACCTCATCTGTTTTATCAGTTCTGTCTCTGATTTCATGACATTCTGAATGCTTCTAAGCTGTGCTGATGCTACTGCATACAAGAAAAAAGGCATGAACAGGTGGCAATATTAACAGGCTTCTTATGGTTCCGAAAAATGAGATAGAAATGTTTCATGTCATGAAAGTCAACATCAATAATCATCGGTCTTGTGTAGATATGGAAGTCAGCCAATGTGGTTCTTGCTGAGGAGGCGTGAGAGATTTCTTTTGCATCAGAGCTGTTGCTCTGGACACAAGTCATAATTTGTCTAATATAGATGAATGAGGAAAATATCACTAATACTTCCTTTTTTCTTTTTTTTTTTTTTTTTTTTTTTTTTTTTTTTTTTAATAAACTGAAAGCTCCCCCTTCTGGCACATTTCCTGAACTGAATGCAAGGTTCCTGATGCCTGCTTTTAGCAGCAGGAGACATTTCCTCTTTTGCTCTCTTTTTAACATCCTTTTCACAAAGGTTCTTTAAAAGTAGTATATTTAGAGCTTCCCAAGGATTTCCTATTTCCACATCAAGCTTCAGGGCTTGATGTGAACTCATTTAATAGCAGGGAATTGCCCTAAGGCTTTACCTATAATTTTAATATTTTGCCTTACCAGGCAAAGTCTTACTTGCTTCCTTCCTACTTTGCTGCATTTTATACAGAGTATAGAAAACAACTTTTTCAGAAATTTAGAGTGTTAGCATTTGTTTTCCTTCAGGGCGATCACTGGAGCTCAGCTATAACCCTGCCATCTATTTTCCTAATAAATGCCTTGGAATCACTTTGAGAAATCTGCAGGATCTTTTTGAACCAGTGCTGCAGCGCTCCTGAGAGCAGATTCTGCTCAGGCTCAGGGAATTTGCAAGCCGGGGAAAAAGCGAAGGGGGACTTGTTTAGGGCACAATTTTGGTAACTGCTGTAAGTGCTCTCATCTCATTGCTGCCTGTGTTTCGAGGACCGCCAGTGTCAACCATTCCTCTAATCCCTTAAATCAGTGCAGTCACTTACGTGTTTAATATGATGAACTGATTTGTCACTGATTTTCCACAGTTGTATACTTATGCAAAGAAAGGGGAAGACTTTCCCAGCATGTACTGCTGCAGGATCCTATAGTTCCCATAAATTCCTACATTTTAATTTTGTTACCATCACCGGTACCATCCCTCAACTCCAAGCAGGCTGACACAGGCAGTGAGACTGGTTTGGAAGCTTTCTTTAGGTTTGCTGTCATACATTCAAAGACATCCTCGCTCTGTGTCCTTAAAGACTGTTTATGGGGGACAGCATTTTACTGGAGCATGAAGACGGGAATGAATGCTTCTGTGCAGGAAGGATTATACTGGGGATGTCTTTTCACACAGGCATGCACACCAGCCCCTCTGGCTACACAGAAGAAAACAAAAGAGTAAAGCAGAGTAAAATATCATCATATTCATCTCAACTCAGTACTGAGCTGTAATAGTAAAATGAGAATGGATAAATTATATTTCTGACTTCCTTTCTGGGCTTTCCCTGAATATCAAGGTGGTATTTTCTTCTACGGTAGTGATGCTGCTTTGTTTTTTTATGCAGTGAAGTAATAAATGTGACAGGTTTTCGTGATAGAATAGTGGTTATTTTAAAGTCTAGTATCAGAGTACGGCCACAGTGAATGAAGTATGCCCATTAGACTTGGTACATTAGGTCTGGAAGTGGGAGAATTGCTCGCCTGCCACCTTATGCCATTTTCCCCTTCCCTCGCCATGGTAACAAAAATCAGGACTGACCTACACAAACAAAGCTGCTTGCCCTAAATGGAGCATAGCTCAACTACGGAGGCAGCAAGGCCAATTAGCTTTCAGTGCAGTTTACAGCAAAGAAGGTCTGTTAGTATAAATGCCTACGCATACAACAGAATACCAAATGTAAGTTTGCCATTTGAAGTCAAATCCGAATAATAATGAAGTACCAAATGATATGTTCGTTATATACGTGAATGTAGGCACACGCATGCACCTGTCTGTGTTCTTGTTGTTGTTCTTATTTTATATATGTATACGCCTATGTGTGTTCTTAGAAATGTCTCAAAATCTCCTTTTATTGTCATAATGAAACAGTAGGACTGCTTTGAGAGCCATTTGTCTGAAAAACTACTGTAAACTTCTTTGGAGTAGGCTGTCTGCCCTCAAGAGAGTTAAATCAGTAGAACTTTGACGAGACTAGAAGACCTGCTAATATCTAATTAATGTGGAAATAATTCTTGCAATGGTTGCATTTCTCTACAAAGCTTGTACTGAAAAACAGTTAACTGTCGATTTAGTGACCATTAAATCAGTTTGATATGCAAATGAGGATGCTGGGCTACTTCATAATGCTGACATTATTTAAACATTTGTTTATTAATCTGAGAAAATTGGAAATGTCCACAAATAGGATCCAAAAGCAAAGGAATGTCTTTTATCAACAGAGACTTTCTTCAAAGTTTTTGTTGTCTGCCTTTTAGAGTCAGTAGGCTCCAATGACCAGAGTGACAGCAACACTAAATACGAGGGTCCTGCTAAGAGTGAAGCGTAAAACAGTTGTTCCTGCACCTGACATGTTCTGCTGTTTTTCTTCCAGTATGAACAAAATGGAGCAATTCTTATGCTCTCCAGATTACCCCTGAGCTCTTGTCTTCTTGATGTTAAGGGGTCATGGAAACAGCTTAAATTGTCTTTGTCCATTTAATGTAGACTTAATTAACTCAGGTTAACGACTGCAGGATGGAGCTCAGGGAGTTGAGAGCTGCTCACATTGTTCAACCCAGCTTGTCCTGTGGCATAAGCTGAATTTCGGGGGGGGAGAAAAAAGGAAAAGATAGCGTGTTGCCAGAACATCACCAAACACAGTCTACAGAGAAGCAAAACTGCTGCCTCTCAGGCGTGCACAAAGCTCACGGCTGCATGTAAATGTGGAAGTGCAACACACAGTTGACCAAATCACTTACAAATGACGGCAGCATATCTGTTCCCTAAATCTTTACTCTTAGACTTTGTATAATCAACACAAAGTCTTTGGGAGTAATGCATTGTGACCTGTGAAGGCTTAAATGAGTATTTTGCCTGGGATATATTGTCATCTTTCCTACATTTATATACCACGGCCAAAAAAGTGAATAACAAATAATTTGTTTCAGAAAGAGTGCAAAATTGCAAATTGTTGCTCAGTGAATATGGAAAATTATGTAGATGCATAATATTTAATGGCATATACTTTTGACATCTTACTTAGAAGATTGCAACAGGATTACGCAGAAGGGCACTTGCTAACCCCTTCTTTTTTCATTTACATTCACAGGATTTTTGAGCACTGGGGACCAAGCAGCAAAAGGAAATTACGGCCTCCTTGATCTAATTCAAGCTTTGCGATGGACTAGTGAAAATATTGGGTTCTTTGGCGGTGACCCATTAAGAATAACTGTTTTTGGATCTGGTGCAGGCGGTTCATGCGTCAATCTGTTGACTTTATCCCATTATTCTGAAGGTAACCGTTGGAGCAATTCAACCAAAGGTATTATGCAGGTTGCAAATTTTGACAATTTTGGTGTCTGCATGCCACCGCCATTAGTACTATGTGATGCTCTGTATATTCTCTTTGTTCCTACGAACTGTTGAGTTCAGCTCAATATTCAGCAAACTTTTTAAAGGCTGTGCAAGCCGCCTTCTCCCTTGGCTCTCCCGTGCATGTTTAAATTTTAGGTCACTTTCTTCTTTTTCCTATGGAGCTTTGTAGAAACACTTTATAGCAGACTTCTGAATAGCATTTTCTCGGTGCATCATTTTTGTCTCTTTTCTTTCCTATCTAAGGGTGGCCTTTTTGGAAAACCAGTCAGTCATGCTCACAGTAGATGAGGTCGTCTATATGCAGACAGTTATGAAAGGCATGTTTAGTTTCTCATGAGGAGCAGAATTTAAAGAAAACTAAAATGACACAGTTTTTCTTTTCAGGCTAACAGCTGAAATGCTTAAAACTATTATTTTGTGGGAAGGAAACAAGTACCTAGTTCAGAAATCTTTTGTCTGAAACTGCATGAACTTCACTTGCTGTCATCTAATAAAAGAATTGTTGAATGTTTTGCATGCATGATCCAAAATTGTCAAAGCATCCAAGTTGCAAATGGATTTTCTTCTATATGTTTTTTCCTATTCCATAACTAACAACTTTTCTCTCTAGTTGAGTCAGACGGCAGGAAATTAAAAACATGCTGTTTCAGGCACCCAATTTTTTTTCCTATGATTTTTGCACCACAGTTCCATAGTTTCTCTCATTTGCATGGCTATTGCTTATTGATCACACTACTTTTGTCTCACTGTTTTCATGCATTTTTATCTGTAATGTTTAGTTTTACCAGGGACATCTCACTGTGCCCTGTACATACAATCCTTCACTAATTTATATGGCTGTATCTCCATGGGGGACTAATTGGCCAGTCATAACAAACTTTTTCCACTGACATTAAAAGAGCTGCATTTACCCAAAGTCATGATGCAGAGCCCACTGAGGTCAATAGAAGTGAGAGATTTTTTAGATCAAGCCTTTACATTATTTTAAATGAGAGAAAAAATAAGCTTTTACAAGAAAAGTCTAGTGGAAAATAGACTGTGGTTTAAATTTCATTCTATTTCCACAATTTGATTTTTTAATGTTTTCTTTTTTTCCATTACTATCTGTAGTTAAATAGAACATATTTATAAACTGTCCTACAAGTACAAGATGTAAGCATTACCTCAGTATAATCAGGTAACTTTTTCATCAGAACTCACAAATATAAATTTTGTCATAGAGGATTTAGCTTAAGGTTGAATGAGGAGACCTGGTTTATCCTCCCTTAACGCTTACTTGATCTTAGTCTTGATCTTCTTGACGTAATGTGACCCTAATGCAAAATGCCACATTTACAGTATCTGGACAGTCATGTGTTGCCTCTTATCAGCAAACTTTACCCTGTCATATTCTAACACATGGCCAGAATTCTGCCAGGAGCAGAATTTTTGGGGGGAAACTGATGCAGTCGTTTGCCAACAGAGCAGATCAAAGGATTCGGGAGGGGACTGGAGAGGGCTTACAGATGTATAATTAAAATCCAGTTGTAAAAGTAAATTTTTAAGGATTTCTTTTACAAGAAAGAAAAAACATGCTTTATTGAAATTTGGATTAAACAGAACAAGGTGCCAAACCCCCATATATGTTATGTTTCATTTGGGGATGGTTAGACCTGCCATTAAAAAAAATATTAAAATAAAAATTGGTCAGCTTCACATAAAAGAAGTTATTTCAATTTTTCAAACTTTTCAAATATCTTAACATTTTCAAAAAAACTTTTGTTTCACATTATTAACCAGTCTCTTTCATAAGCTGTAAGTTCGGATGCTCTCTTTGCTTCCTTCATTTCCCTTTGAAAGGATCCCTTGGTAGTTGAGAGGAAGCATTCAGCCTACTTCAAGATGGTGCTGTTCATAGCTGCCCATCTGCAAGTGGGCAGAACAGCACCCATCTGTAGAAAGTGCTCTGGAAATGCAGATGAATATATGCAAATTATTATTATTTGTTTTGGTGTCTGAATAGGAGTCACAAAGCGCTATGGTCCATTGAATATTTAAATCCTCTTTCTGTCAGTCTGATGCCCACGACCTATAATAATCATACACATTATCAGATAAAAATGTAGTTCTCCATCCTGTCTGGTACCAATTTCTGCCAGGAATAATATGACAGAATGAAAATAATTTTTCATGCTGTTGTTCATTTTTCACCAAATGGTTTGATTGAGGAATATTTCCATAAGCATTCTTCAGCAGAAGGAGGGATGTTTAGTTTCATTTCCTAAGATAACTTTATGGCCAGAGGACTTGTCCATTCTTACTTAATCCAACTTTTAATGTTTATGTAGCACTTAGCAAGCCATAGTGTTTATATCAGCATTTTCTTAATACGTAGCTTACAGTTTCTGTCCTTGTTCAGAGATACTTAATAAAGCAATAAAAACAGATTTACACAATATACAGAAAAGAAACATTATGAAGTATCATGAAATCCATCTTTGTGAAAATTCAGTTTTGTCATTTAGTTACATTTATTACAATGCCTCGATCCTCTGTGGTAATTCCGCTGACTTTGAGCTGATTTATACTAGCTCAATATCTGACCTTGTAAACATGCAAATATATTTTTACCTGCTTTATAGCTCAAGTTCTTTCTTATTTTTTACTCATATCTTGCAAGGAAATAATATCTCCTATATGACTTCTTATAAATTTAAGGAGAGGCTTGAGTTTACATATTTCAGTCCCTACACCTATCTGATTTTAAGACTTTTGGATTTGGACCTAATACAGCCTAGAATGATTTTAAAATTCCTCTGAAGCTTGTAAAATGTTTCCTGCCAGCAGCTGATTCCAACTAGCTTCTGAGCTTACAGGGTCTGGTACTGCAATAGAGGCTGTAAAAGCATGTCTCTGATCATCAGTAGAAACGTGTTATTTATCAAAGTAAAAGCCATCTTTTGCATTATTGGAATAAAATTCTGAGGTAAGCTGAGCACCTTAACTCCAGTTCCTTTAGTGGGAGTATCCAGCTATTCATCAAGCATTGGACCAAAGATACATTCTTAGCAAAATTAAGTGAGTGAGGCCAGATGTCACTTCTAGTCCCCAGGCCACTCTACTAAAGACAGTGGAAATACTCCAGGTGCCTATCAGCATAAGTAAAATCCATATACCTTATATCAGCATAACTTACGTTATGCTATAGACCCATTCGTATTACACACAGTGAGATATAGGAGGTAGGGTCCAGTATAAAATACTTTCCAGTAATTAGTGCAAGAGATGTGCTACTGAAATGAACTGGATGAACTTCCATGAAAATGTAAAAGAACAGAAAGGTCACAGTTACCTAAATATAGTCTAAGTTTATAACATTAGAGGTAAGCATTATTTTGCACAAGGTTCAGACTCAAAATCTCTTTCAGAACCTGAATTGCCCTCCCTAAAGGGAGTGGGAAAAGGCAAAGCCGCAACACAAAGGGAGCACAAGAAGTATTGGGACAAGGGTGGAGTTTCGGTTGCATTAAAGTCAACAGCAAAAAAATTGGATTGATTCATTTACTACAAGGGGGTGAGGTTTTCATCCATGATATGCTCAAAAATGCTTATGGAAGGGAGAGGAAAATGTCAATTTAAACATATTTTGTTATTTCTATGAGTAGAATTCCTGGTCCAGAGTGCTAGTTAAATCAACATAAATTCAAACTAATTGCACTGAAGTCTTTGGGATTTGCTACAAGTTTATATGCAGCACCAGATCATACTGTCTCTCTCCTCGAAATTAATACCTGAACATATGTTTAAAATTCTGAATTGCAAAGCTAAATTGGGTAAAATATATCATTTTCCCTTTTTATGTAAGTGTGATCACTATAAACCTTCACTGAAAAACTCCTTACAAGAAAGGATCTTGACTCTTAGACACTTATAAATTTAATAGCTGGCTAGTACCTTCCCCTCCATCAGTCCAGAATATAAACTTTTGCTATGATATACAATTCAAAAGCACTGCACCTCTCAAACCAAGTTTAATCCCAAAGAAAATATAAAAAGCAGTATATTAGGTTTATTTAACACATAGCTGTATGCATGCATGCTGCTGATGGCTTGAACAATATCCAGAAATTAAATCCATTTCAGAGGCTCATTGGCTTTTCCTCCAACCTATAAATTGTTTTAACTTTCGGAATTTCTTTCAAGCCAATAGTGAAACTAAATAAGGTAATGCCACTCTTTTTCCTCCTGAGTTTCTTTGAAAATCTGTTCCTCAGCTGGACTACACTGAGGTAGAATCATTTGCTTCAGTTTCTGCGCATATTGCATTTATTTTGTATACATTACCTGTAGGTACAATGACAGTCAGATCTCACCATCTTGTGTATTTAAGTACTATTAAGATTCAAGTACCTCTTCTGTTAAAGTTTTCTGTTGTTTCAAAGATCTCCTTTGAATCATTCAATATGTAGCTGTTTCAAGGTCACTTCAGTAGTTTTTAAACATTTCTCCCCACAGGACTTTTTCAAAGAGCAATAGCTCAAAGCGGAACAGCTCTCTCCAGCTGGGCAGTTAGTTTTCAGCCTGCAAAATACGCCAGGATGTTGGCTACAAAAGTTGGTTGCAACATGTCAGACACTGTAGAATTGGTAGAATGTCTACAGAAGAAGCCTTATAGAGAACTTGTCGACCAGGACATTCAACCAGCAAGATACCATATAGCCTTTGGACCAGTAATTGATGGCGATGTGATACCAGATGATCCTCAGATATTGATGGAACAAGGAGAATTCCTCAATTATGACATCATGTTGGGAGTTAACCAAGGGGAAGGGTTAAAATTTGTTGAAAATATTGTGGATAGCGAAGATGGCATATCAGCTAGTGATTTTGACTTTGCAGTTTCTAATTTTGTCGATAACTTATACGGATACCCTGAAGGCAAAGATATATTGAGGGAAACTATTAAATTTATGTACACGGACTGGGCAGATCGACACAATCCGGAGACCAGAAGGAAAACACTGCTGGCTTTGTTTACTGATCACCAGTGGGTTGCACCAGCAGTGGCTACAGCAGACCTTCACTCAAATTTTGGATCGCCTACGTATTTCTATGCCTTCTACCATCATTGCCAGACAGATCAGGTACCTGCATGGGCAGATGCAGCCCATGGAGATGAGGTTCCTTACGTACTAGGAATCCCTATGATTGGTCCTACTGAATTATTTCCTTGTAATTTTTCCAAAAATGATGTCATGCTAAGTGCGGTGGTGATGACGTACTGGACAAACTTTGCAAAAACTGGGTGAGTACCAGATAACGAATAGCCTTGTATACAAACTCAGGATATAATGACGCAGTGCTTTACCTTGGTTATCTCACTTGTGAATGCCTCTCTACTTGAAGCATGAATAAGAAATTAAGAATTGGGTTGGATGTCCCTCAGATCACTTACATATCCTAGCAAAACAGAGGGGAAAAAATACCTTTGCAAAAATTCTGTGTGAGGAAATTCCAAAAATACTTTGTACACAAAAATAATTAAGAGATCCCCAGAAAAGCACAAAACTAAGCCTTTAACATGTGTATAGTTAAAAACAGTTACATTAGTAACTGACTTTACCACAGCACTGATAATATTTTCATCTCATGAGACAGAAAATGATATAAATACTGCATCAAATGTAATACAGATTATTTTAATAATGTATTTTGTTTTAAATTGACACTTCTGATCATAAAATATGTGACTTTAAACTTGAAAAGTTTTGTCATTTTCATTAACTCTTCTTTCACTGGTAGTTCAAAAGACTTTTCTACCTTTGACCATTGGACTCTAAGTCACTATGTGTTATACTGCATTATGCCAGAGGTCTTTCACCTCTGGAGGGCCACAGGCACTGCATATGAACTGAAATGCTGAGCTTTATGAGCTTTACGTTACGAAAAAAAGAAAAGCAAAGCTTAATGTCCTCTCACAGGCATTTGTCCGCATTACCACATTGTCCTCAATCTGCCCTTGGCAGTGAAAGATTTCAGTGTGAGAGATAGTAGCATTTTGGGGAACTAGGGAAGTCACTGAAGTCTATGTAAAAGAAGGGTTCATTTACATAGTGTTGTTTCTAATCAAGATTATTAAGGCCTCTAATTTTAGGAAACAGCATTCTGCTCTGTCCAAAGGCAGGCTTAAATATTAACTATAAAACCTTCATTATGTTAATTTTATAATTCCTTTTGAAATACTTTGTAACATTGGAGATATTTTTTTTTTAGTGACCCAAATCAACCAGTGCCACAAGATACAAAATTCATTCATACAAAACCAAATCGTTTTGAAGAAGTAGCATGGACCAGATATTCTCAGAAGGACCAACTGTATCTTCACATTGGATTAAAACCACGAGTTAAAGAACATTATAGAGCCAATAAAGTGAACCTCTGGTTGGAACTGGTACCTCATCTACACAATCTTAATGACATTTCACAGTATACCTCTACCACAACTAAAGTGCCATCAACTGATAATACTTTCAGACCAACAAGGAAAAATTCTGTTTCTGTTACTTCAGCCTTTCCTACAGCCAAACAAGATGATCCCAAACAACAGCCAAGCCCATTTTCAGTGGATCAAAGAGACTACTCAACAGAATTGAGTGTTACTATTGCAGTTGGTGCATCTTTGCTGTTCCTGAACATTTTGGCCTTTGCAGCACTGTACTACAAAAAAGACAAGCGGAGACATGATGTTCATAGGAGATGTAGCCCACAGCGTACTACTACCAATGATCTTACCCATGCACAAGAAGAGGAGATAATGTCCCTCCAAATGAAGCACACTGACTTGGATCATGAATGTGAGTCCATCCATCCACATGAGGTGGTTCTCAGGACCGCCTGTCCCCCAGACTACACGCTAGCTATGAGAAGGTCTCCTGATGATATTCCCTTAATGACACCCAACACCATCACAATGATCCCCAACACTATACCAGGGATTCAGCCCCTACACACATTCAATACATTTACCGGAGGACAGAACAACACTCTGCCCCATCCTCATCCCCACCCCCATTCACACTCAACAACCAGGGTATAGCCAGACAAGACGAAACAAACTTTATTTTTTGATGGATTACAGTAGGTGATGTTACTGAAGATTACTTGGCTTTCAACCTACAAGACTCTTACTATTTAAATATGGAGGAATATTATGTGAATATACATATCAAGAACTTTTGGGGTTTTGAAAAAAATGAATTGTACATATATCAAATGAACTTAAGAAACAAACAAACGAAACAGACAAAAGAAAAACAAAAACAAAAAAACCCAACTGTTTGCAATTGCTTGAAGCAGTTGTCCTGAATGATACTTTTTCATTCACATTCAAGTATTAATTTTTTGAAGATTTAAGTTACATAATGGAATTAGGCATGTGCAACACAAACAGGAAAGAACTATGACTGAAAATTTTTAAAACCTATAAATATGCACAAGGGACACACTCTTGGAATGTCAGATAATTTTCACCAATTTTTATTTGGATGTGGTTTATTGTATAGACCATATTTACATATTTGAATAAGTACACAAAGCACCAATGCTGTTAAGGCCTTAGAAAGGGGCTCATGCTGAAATCTGTCAGTCAAAGAAGTTTTACAGCCTGGCAGGTACAACATTATCACATAAGTGCTGTCAGTATAAAAGTTGTGGGAATAAAGGAAACTGGATTTTTTTAGCACGATGTGCATGATAATTTATATGCTTGGTGGCTGTGCTGCTGATTAAGCCGTAATTAAAATTCTTCTCATCCCATTGGAGTTTTTAATAGAAGATTTCTCCATCAATTGGCACAACCTAAAGAAGTTTTTTAAAGGGGCAAAAGTAATTACAGTAAAATATTTCAGAGTAGCTTCAGAAATAGAAGGAATTGCAACAGTTCTTAAAGGTTTTTGTGGCATTCTAGGTATACAGTGATGAACTCTCGCTGATACGAATCCCAGACAAAAAATTTGTATTATTAAAGTTCTTTCTCCTTTCCACCTCAATAATTTCTAACTTTAACATAACTATAACTTTAATGGAATCTCCTCTGATGAAGGATTTATAACTTGCTGTGATTTAGTTACAATATATTTAGTTCAAATTGGTAAGGTAATATGTGTCCAAAAATGTAATTGCAATGATATTTTGCAATACAAAAATGCCCCAATATTACTGCTCTGATTACACCTTTCAGTTTATTGTTTAAACTCATGTTGCATGTTACAAAATTTACTTACAATACTTTAATATAAAGTTAATTCCCGTTTTGCTATACATTAGCTTTGCCATTCAAATGAATTCTCTAGACCAGATGGCAACAGTGTAGAATAAGAGGGTGTGTAAGAATGGGGAGAGCACCAACAACTGGAAAATTTAAAATCTAAATACTACGTATGTTTGTGTGATTGGAAATGAATGTTCTAAAATCACAAGAAATTCTTCATTCCCCTGTTGCTTTCCAGTAATTCTACACCATGGTCCTTTCAAAATGTTTGTATATGTAATCAGATGTACATTTATATAAAAGAAATAATTGAGATGGACTTAAGAGCACATCCCTGATAAATCCTTTCTCTCTTACCTGTACTATATTTCTATTAGACTAAAGTTATGTGATTTTTTTTTTACATTTTTTCAGATTACTAGCAATTTTGATAGTTTGTAAGATAATGCGAAGAACTTTCTCTGACAAACTAACTGCAGTAACAGAAACATTTCTTTTCAGTTACTCTTTTTCAAGAATGAAAGCTTATTACACACAAAAATTGTATACTACTTGATGGAAAATTACTTTGTACTTCTTGGCCATATTACTGGTCACTGAGTGAAATAAAGATAATCTGGATAACGAATATTATTCCAATGCTAAGAGACCTGATCTTTGCTCATTAAAGAGCTAAAATGTTTATTGCTGTTTTGTCATTTTTTAATGAAGTAATGGTAACTGTCTCAAATAAAGAGTAATATCTTAAGACCAGTCTGGTTTTTGAAGACATGAACATGCCTTCTACGATTAATACAATTGCATATTTATGGGCCAGTCCCACCTACGACTGTTTCTTACAGAAATACTGACATTGTCACTGTAGGATGTCATAATATTACACGCAACTCTCCCCAAGTTTTCAGGAATAAGTTAAAAATGCAAATATCAACACCAGAAAAAAAGCCAAGGAATAGGCCTAATTGAAATAGATCTACAGTATTCCATGATGGGAAAAAAAATCACCTGGGTTTTATTCGGGTGATTGAACTTTCATGAACTATAGCTGGGAAGCAAAAGCTTCAAAGCGTGTTTGCTAATATCAAGCACAAATGTTAAAATGGAAGCTGAAAGCAAAATAAAGCACTACAATTTCAGTCATTTTATTGAACAAAAAAAAAAAAAAAAAGAAATCCATGTATTTAATTAGTGCTTGTTACAGTCCCCAGTTTTAAATTAAGCTCTTTTGGTAGAAGCATAAAAAAATAGTCTTCAAAATCCAGGGTGGTCTGTGTGCAATTTCTGCCTGATGTGGTTGTGCTTTTAGACTGTGACCTGCCAATGTAAACCAATAAAAAGAATTGTCTGCCATCTGATAATTATTGTTTAATAGGAGGATTGTATTTTGCTATGTTGATGAAACAAAACAAAAAAATACAAAAATATTGATGGCCATAAAACAAGATATTAACGAAACATGATTTTATGTGCTTTTCTTAACTTTATCAAAACCAAAATAACTTTCTACTATAGTTTATTTGTGGCCATATATCTATATATCTCTATATATACAGTATCTGGTAATTGTTTACTTTTATTAGTTACAAAATAAATAATTTAGGTAAACCAAGCATGACACTACACTTTATTTCTGTCAGCCAACAGTATTTAAAATGTGAAAGATGAAGGCAACAACAGAAATTTTATCACTCCTCTTTGAAAAAAAAAGTCCATTCCTCTGATGCAGATACTGTGAATGATGTTTTAGTGGCTACTTTATAATTCCGTTACGGCAGTGGCTTTCCAAAAGTAAGATGGTGTCCCACATTTTAACACAACATTAAGAAAGACCAAGAGATGTTTTAAAGCTGAAACAAAATAAAAATGTAGGAAATGGTTTTGGAATATCTTCATTACGCTTCATGGAATATGAGTTTGTTCTTTTTTTGAAATATTTATCTCTTTGATTTGTTTTCCACGGTAGCCTACAAGAAAGCAAAAATGAGTGTAATATTTAATTTCTTGTATCATCCTTGGACCAGATTTCCAATAAAATTAGGATATCATTCAGTCTTTGGAAGTCCAGTAAAACTATAAAAAGCCTGCATTTACACTTTTGTAAATATGTTTGCAGATCTTTTTAAGAAAATGTATTCTACCATTTTGAGAAAAAAACACAATGGAATCATTGTCTCGTTTATCTATTAAAATTCCAGGCAATATAATGTGCTGTGCTGACATTTCTAGGAGAAATAAAGCAGATGAAAACACATTTTGCTCAATGGTATCTCAGTTGGTTATACGTGGTATTCTCCACCCACTGAAGCCTTGCAGGGCAGGGCTGA